TCTTTAATTAGTCTTCTTTAACAACAAGACTCATATTTCATTAGTTGACAAAAAGACAAAAAAATTATGGGCTAGAAAAAAAATTCGTCGGTGGAGTGAGAAAGGTGGACCCTTTTTATTTACAGGATCAGTCTTTGTAAAGTACAAAAGAGATCATTTAAATTGCAATAAATAAATACTACTATATTAGGGTCTCATTTCAACCTTTATTTGGTTCCAACATGTTTGCAAAAATGGTGAATTAAATGTTTTGGATCAAATCGTAGTACCATTCTTTTTACCAAAGACTAACACAAGAAACAAAACCAAGCCCAAACTCGGAAAAGATCAAGCAGTAAAAAATGACTAATGTGATTGATTCCGTCTTACAAAATTTCATAAACAAAAGATGAAAGGCTGAGATTTTTCAGACAATCAAGATGCCAAAATGATACAACATTGAAAGAAAATAATGAGTACTACTACTCTCTGTGATCTTTCATCGTTAAACCCATCATCGGCGTTTATATAAACATGCTTTCAACTCGGGCCACTTGATTTTCTTCTCATTTGAATTCAATTGCTCCTATAAAATCAGATAATTAAAGAGAGTTATAACCCAAGCTCCAAGACTAAACAAGCCTAAACGAAGCATTTTCACTAACCTTTTTCTGAAAATGCCATAGGATGAACATCTTATTCGAGAAGTCCTGCGCAAAAGAAAGAACCAAATGGGTTTCTTTCCTTAAGAATAGTGGAAATTAGAAAGGGAGAGTATAGAGACCAAAGATTTTACCTTCAAAACCGAAGTAAATCCAAGGTTACAAACTGCTTTCACAAAGTCTTTTGGGTCTGCTCCTCCATTGTTTGGATCAAACCTACTTTTTACTTCCGCTATTAGAAGCCAACCGCTGTTGAATACACGCAACGAATTCTAACTCAGAATCAATAACAGAAATTTATGAATAAGAGAGACTGGAAAGTTAAAGAAAACCGAACCTTGGACGAAGAACTCTGTATGCCTCGTTGATGTAACTAGAATAGTTTGTTCCCATTAACGAAAGACAGAAAACGGCAACATCGACTGATGAAGACTCAAGCGGAGTCTACCAAGAAAAACCACAAAAAAACAGTTAAGTCCGAGGAAAAAAAGAACATCATGAAGTCGAAAGATTAAGACTACAATTTGAATGTTACATTTGACATATCGCAGGCGATAACAGACGGGTTCTTCGAGACAAGATCAAAGGAGAAAACTTTGTTCTTCACACTCTTTGCAATCCTTGCATCACCTGAAAACGGTTTTTTCAAGTCGATATAAGAGCGGTTTTTTGGTAGGAAAAAAAAAAACACAGAAGAATATGATTAAGAAAATCTCACCACAACCAAAATCAGCCACAACTAAAGACGAGCTTCGAGACAATAACCAATTTATAATGGAGTTAACAGGAAGCTCAGGCCAATTCGACATTTGTTGCTGATAACCTGTATGATACTGCAACAAAAACAGAATCAATTACTTAAAACTTTCAACTACAAACAATCTACTAAACATTCTTGTTCTGAATCTAATGTGTTGTTTACCATATCAAACATGTCTGGATCTTCTTTAAAGTAGGCTAATGCTTCTTTTCCACTGAGAAATATTAAAAATGATTTAAGCTCTGTGAAACTGTAGAAAAATCACAAGAAAGATAAAGAATTAAACTTACGAGCAAGTGTAGAGTTTCTCATTGAGCATCCTAAATTGCCCACCAGATAATTTCTCACGAAGCTGCGATTTTTTCATATAATGATTCAAAATCTTCGTTAACTTCAATCATAAGACGACAATCAAATGTAACT